AAATGATGATAAAGATGTAATGGTTACAATTAAAATAGTTAGTGTTGTAACCGTTACATCTTTATCATCATTTAAAATAGTTTGTGTTGTAACCATTACATCTTTATCATCATTTAAAATAGTTAGTGTTGTAACCGTTACATTTTTATCATCATTTAAAACAGTTAGTGTTGTAACCGTTACATCTTTATCATCATTTAAAATAGTTTGTGTTGTAACCGTTACATCTTTATCATCATTTAAAATAGTTAGTGTTGTAACCGTTACATTTTTATCATCATTTAAAACAGTTAGTGTTGTAACCATTATGTCTTTATGATCATTTAAAATAGTTAGTGTTGTAACCATTACATCTTTATCATCATTTAAAATAGTTAGTGATGATGATAAAGATGTAATGGTTACAGCACTAACTATTTTAAATAATGATATATATGTCATACCTGAACACATATATTTCAACGATTATTTTAACCCTAGTTAGTACTAGAATAAAACCAATACCCAGCCTTTTGCTACCTAGCAATATTTTTTTTCGTTCCCCATGGAGATCTACAGTGTTTATTTGTTTGTAGTTAAGCACAAAGCTACATAAAGCTCTACCCACCACGTGTATCGAAACTCGGTTTCTATCGTTGGAAGCCCGCAGACATACCGCTGAGCCACTGGGGGGCATACAGTGTTTACCCAGCCACTTTTTCAATCTTTGCAAGGTAAACTGGTAACTTAAACCTCGAATAAATATTTCTCTCTATGTTTACTTAAATAACTGTTCATTTTCTGCTTCATAAGGCTTCAATAAACACTTAAATCTTCCTGATTAATGTCGATTCTTGGCAAGAAATTAAACTGAAATTAATAACTGTGTACAAAATGTGTAATCAGCTAAAATAACTTTTTAAGTTTAGAGATGTTTTGGTGTACGTTTTGAAAGACGTTAGATTTAAATAAACTAGTAACTATCAGAATGGTATCATAGTGATTAAATATGTAGAACAATTTAATATTAGAACTTTGGGCAAAAGATTTGAGTGCGAAAAAAAACCCTATATAATCTATTGCATAAGTAGTTTCGTTTAAGATTACTTTAGATCCAAGTTGTTTTTTTAAAAGATGTTATAAAAAAGGGACTTCGCAAAATGGAAAATGAAGGTGAAATAAGAGAAAGGATCATATAAACTTTCAATCTTTTATCAATATTTTATCCTGAGACGTCGCTAAGCATTGGCACAAGGTTCCTGTATCCCGATTCTAGTTGACAGTGCCCCGAATCCCAAGTTGATGTCATGAAAAATCAGAATAAAAACCATGATAGATATCATACTGAGCCCCGATATCTTTTAAGCACTTAGCGACGCCTCCGATTTAACTTTTTCATGTATGTACCTTTCTCAATATTAGGCTTAACTATATAATATTCTGCAATAAAAATCAATAAAATAATACCAAAATATATTACCTTAAATATAATTAATTAGAATGGAAGTTTAGTAAACGTTTAAAGTTTCGGAGAAGTTTCTAGATGATAAAATTTACTTTAATAAGTAAGTTTCTGTTAGGCTTAACCATTATACATGTACTTGCTGTTGGTTCAATTGTACCAGTTAGGTTGAACATCATACTTAAAATTCTTTTCACATGCAACGCTACGAATAGTCCTTGTACGAAGAATAATAAGCTTAGCTGTCGAAACCATTACTAAAACGGTATTTATTGAAGATCGTGATCTTAAAATTTGATAATATATGAACTAATTATATTTATTATTTTTTGGAAATAATGCACACATTAAAACATTATATTCTAGGCCGTTATAAATTAACAAAATAACTACAGAGTATGCAAATATTAAAAAAAGTAAAAGAAAAACAGATGATGTACAAGTAAAGCCAAACGAAGCCTTAACATTGTAAAAAAGTTTTCTAGAAATTTTTGAACTTGTTAGGGTGATTTTGTGTTACTTTTCTAAATTATGGCGTCTGTACAATAGCTTGAGTTTCATAGTGTTACACATATTTTAAAAGGTACCACCCGTGGGGGTGTAAGTATTGTGCTGAAACGTGTTTATCCAAAGTAATATAAAAAGTTATATTAAGTTTCGTATAACATTTTCAACTTCTTTTATTTTACTACCCAACGGCGGCAAAGTTAATTAGAGAGCGCTTTGAAGACAACGTCCTCTGACGAGAGAAATAAGAAACATATAATTAATATTGTCTCCCGACAACGACTAAGACTAAGTGATGCGGAAACACTGACATGTAGCTAGCTATATAGAAATATAAAAAAAAAAGACAAAAATGAAAGTTAGACATGCGCAAAAGTTATTGAGCTCTTCTGACAAAAGTATACAATGGCAACTTAAAAAAAGTACTTAATATAATTACCTTTAAATGAAATATAAAACTATTTAACTTATCGTTTCTACAATTAATAAATATAAAACAAAAAATCTAAGCAATGATGTTACATAAATTTGCGACTTTATTAAGAATAATAACGACATGATTTAATTAATAATCTGCATTTACTATAATTTTCATTAAAAGTTTTTATGCACTCTACCACCAGAAGTTATTATATAATTGTAGTAGCTATGAACGATATTTTTGCTACAAATATTTGACTAGTATATGTTCACCGATAATTATCATAAGATCTAATTATCAATTTGTCTATATATCCTCAATGGTTTTATGTGATATTAAGATATGACTTTTCCTTGAAATACTTAATAAAGACATATAAATACACGGCTACAGACAAAGTTAAAAAAGCATTAGTTTTAAAGTGCAAGGGATTTCCCATTTTCAACAAAGATTTGCAACTGTCAATAATGAATTACGTTTCTCATATATTTATATAGAGATTCGTATGAACACTGAATATATATTTATACTCCCATTCCTCCAGTCACCTTTTCTCTAAATTAAAACACAACAAATACCTGATAGGCAGATTTTTCTATGATAACTCCCAGCTGGGTGTGATTTAAGTTGTGGCCTGATTATCGAGTGATCTTCTTTGGTCAGTATACAGGTTTGATTGACGTGATCCAAAAAGTAAGCTTTACAATCTTTATTGTTGTAACATAAGTTGTAGCACTGGCTGGGGTCAGTCTGGGCGAGAGCTATGTAGTCATCAGAACTCGTATAGATATTTGCTAATAGCATGACAGACGAGGTTCTAACGAAGGTGGTTCCCTCTTGCGAACATCCACCTAAAACACTGAAATTATCTTAAACACTTCTAGACATAACCACACAGTAGTCTGAAATATTGAAAATTCACTTAATCTAAGGTCCTGATCTGCTTTAGCAATTAATATCAAACATGGTATCCAAACAGCAAGATCAAAAAATTACTGAAGTGCTTTAGAATATAGAGTATTGTAGATGGGATGTGTTTCATAAAATGAATATTATAAACACGTAGATTCAAAAGTATTGGGTAACATTTCTTAGTAAATGTAAACTTAAAGCTAAAATGGCTTAAGATCATTTCTACTGTTCGTTTTCTATTTCAAATCTATATAGAAATATATCAGTTAATAAATATTACAGTAAGAAGTTTTACCAAACTATATATGTATACATTCGCATAATCGGTAGACTCTGTACGTAAGGATGGTCAAGGTACTCAATAGGCATAAAACAAACATGTACACTAAAAAATCAACAATGACAGAGAGTTTTACTTTAAAACACGACTGCCACTTACTTTCATTTGTTTCTTTACCCAACAAGCCCAAAAACAAGGCAAGAAACCATTGCTAAGATACCAAACCAGAAAGTGAACAACCCATGAAATTGTTCATCTTTCTTCTTGTTTCAGTCGAGTTAACTCTACAACTACTTTATCACTAACGTCAGTTTAAAGCTAAATCCCCTCTATGTGTTTCTGGGGCAGTGCACAATGTCATCGCTTAGTCGTAATACTAGTAGCAATTAAAAACAAAAGGAAATCATCAATAGCCGCGGCACTTGAAATTCTTTTAGGCAGGATTAGAGTAAATAAATCTGATACATTTCCCCCTTTTTATTAGCCATATTTTTGTGCGCCAGCAATACCAAAAGTGGGGCGCGCGTATACCCGATTCAATTTTATTATTCATCAGGATCTCTACCAGCCTACCCTCAAATTGAAATTAATTTAGGCAGGAGTAGAGTAAATTAATCTGCTAGACCTTGGGCGTGGTAAAGCACATCAATGAAAAGGGTTTGATCTCCGGAGTCAAAAACTGTAACTATATCTCAAATTGGTCAAGAGATGACGAAGCTATGAGCTAAAAGTTTGTACTTGAAAAAACAAATAAACTCAAAGCTGTTCTATGTGCCACTATGCCGCGGCTAAAAAAATCATACATCTAGCGTAAACGATGTTATTGTTATTTCTTGAAGTTAGCTTTTTTTACAGAAATGTGGTGTTCCTTTAAAAACCTTTATTACAGGGTTAAGCAGAAATTACCAGCCGATAATATTTGAACATTAGATAACTGTAACATGTAGAATACTCAATGCTTTGTACACTACATAATCGGTGTCTTTAAGGAGCCAATCTCTATATTATGTATGAAGTGAAGAAATAAAGAAAAATCAATACACATAATATTAGATTTTATTATACACATTCGTAGAATACACTAACTTTCAGTCAGGGGGAAAACGTCACAAAACCAGCAATAAAAACATTTTATAAATGCAAAACGGTGTAGGGATGGCACGTAGGAATAATCTATGTATAGCTATATCATCCCTATATTCTTGTTCGTGTTATATTTGGCACTGCTATCCCTGCATCATTTTACATTTACATTTTTTTTTTCATTACTTGTATCTATATATATTACCAATAGCAACCTGAACGGCACCTTATGCGATAAATGAGTTAAATAGCCAGGCATATCCAACTTTAATTTATAACTTCTGATAACCAGTTAGTAGCACCCGCTACCTGTTGCTATTGTTATCCTATATTAATTCATGTTATGTGTTTGTGAATTTGTTTGCCTGCAAACTCTCTCCATAGTTTTGGAGCTAGCAGGATCAAACTTGGCAGGCCGACTTAAAGTAGCACGGGGGTCTTCCTTATCTAAGTGACATACCCTTATTTATTTCGGATTCTAAGGGGGCAAAAACGCGTCCTGAAGGTCACCCAGGCATGGTGGAGGTTTAGAAGTAGGTTTGCAAAGTCACTAAATTCGAATATGGCATCGGATTTAGTGTTCCTAACTCTTCATACCCCAACTCACAAGCTAGTAGGACCAAACTTGGTTCAGTACTACTGGCAGGTGTTCTAACGTGTTTATTATTTTTTAAAGCATGAAACCCCTTGTGATAGCTATAGAAGTGACTTGGGATAATGGAGGAGCTTCATCGGCATATTGAGGGTTTCTGTGAATTATGCGGCGGGTTTATGAGCCTCTCTGTTCAGTGTAGGTATTTTATGCTAGTGAATATAATTTTAGTGAATTAGTAGGATTGACTGTTACAGTTAGGAGTTTGTTTACCATCATATTGTGAGTCAACCATTGAACCTTTCGTCCGCAGCCGGGAATGCTAAATACTAGACTATGCCCGACGCATTTATGCACAAACGACAGTTCCTGCACAGCTTGGGCAGTCAAAACCACCACTACTCGTGCTGTGAGGAAGAGTATGAAGAATGATCCACGGCAAATGATTGCTACTGTTGCTGGGCATCTGCAAGAGTGCCTTAATAATATATGAAGTTACCCTTTATAACATGGGCTCCAATGGCAAAGTAACTACATGGAAGGTACTAATCACTCCAGAAAATATTGTACGTCGACGCCAGTGGGCATAACAGATGCTGTCACGCCCTCCTTCCTTTTGGGACTCTATTTTTTCCACGAACCTAGACTTCTGCGATTTTCCGACAGTGGATTGGTACACTTGTGTTTGACGATTACCCGCTTAGGATCTTTCATTTAATCGTCTGGAAGCCACAACTTACGACGGTACTTCTGTTATGATGTGGGTGCCATTTGGGCAACTGGACGATCATAGCTGATACTATGAGAAGGGAGAGTAACTGTTACTCGATACTTCACAGTTCTCGAGCAAGGCTTCTGTGCTAATAATCAACTTACTCTACAAGGTAATGTTTTCAGCTGGGGCTCGTGCTCATTTAGAACAAACCTTTATTACACTACCAATCGCCGGATGTGAACTCTATTAAGTCTGTGCGGCCCGTCTCGATTGTTTCCTGTGAAAGACCCCAAACAACTAACTTTTAGGACCACCCACATCCAAGTTCTTCGCCAGGAGTGGGGTGAAACAACAGAAGCCCAGATTTTACATCTTATGAATATGATGTGTAACCATGTTTCTACCATAACTACTGCTATGATAAGTTCCACTAAATACAAACAGTATTCGTGTTTCATGTTTACCTATTTAACACAACAGCATGCTCTTCTCTCTGGAGTGAGTATCTATTTACGTACTGATAGGCTGTATATGTGTGTTTGTACATACATATATACATATATATGTATTGTAATTCAACACATTCTCGTTTTGTCCAATATAATAAACTTGTATATGTGTAAATCTTTGGCTATAAAATATCATAAGTAACCTTTTAAAATAAAGGACTTTTTAAAATACGTGCCATGAAAAAATTAACGAACTGACTCTGATTTTTATAATAAACAAAGTAAGCATGAAATGATGTAATAACATATAGTAGTGAACAAAATATGTTAAATAGACGTTAATACTTGGCTGATTATAAGTCAAAATATAATAAAAGACATATTAGAATGTTTTTGATTTTCAATATAATAGAATGTAAACCATTTCATCCACTCACCACAATAAATGTCTTGAAGCACTCCACTCCATACCAACAACAGTGTCAGAACTTCTCTCCAGAAGGGTGAACCTAAAACATTCAATGATGTGACTGTTTGAAAATATTTAAAAAAATATGTATAGAATCGCATACTTAGATAAAGCACGAATAAATAAGTCAAAACTTCTGAACAAAGGGAGATCTTATGATACTAACAATGAAGTAGATCAATGTTTCAAAAGTGCTCAAGTTCCTTTTAATTGTAATTGATCATTTCAATAAATGTAAACGGCAACATATGGATATAAGAACATAGTTAACTCTTAAAATGGTTAGGGGGGGGCTCGACTCGAAATCTGAGGGTCGCGGGTTCGAATCCCCGTCCCACCAAACATGCTCGCCCTTTCAGCCGTGGGGGCGTTATAATGTGACGGTCAATCCCACTATTCGTTGGTAGACGAGTAGCCCAAGAGTTAGCGGTGGGTGGTGATGACTAGTTGCCTTCCCTCTAGTCTTACACTGCTAAATTAGGGATGGCTAACGCAGATAGCCCTAGTGTATCTTTGCGCGAAATTAAAAAAAAACAAACAAACAAACTCTCAGAAAGCTGACTTATATATTCATCTTTCACTACTCCTTAGTGTAACTGCATTTATCTGAATATAAAGTAATTGAATTTTAAAAATGATCTTTGTCTTGGTCTGAGCTAATTCAAAATATGTGTGTATAAATCTGTGCATGATTATAAAAACAGTTTATCAAGACACACGGTAGTGTGACGTGCGGCTAAAACAACCTGCAGGAAACACTGTGTGTTACTAACAGGAGTAAAAGTTTAGTAGTTTTCCACTTTCTGCCGCTCGGATTGTAGTAAACCAAACTATCATATATTTTCAGTTAATATGTTCTACTGGACCCTTACTTCACACACCAAATTTCAAGGCAGTCTATTAAGAAATACACAAGATATAAAATCTCCAATTTTGATTGAATTTTTCCTTTTTCGCACCGAAAGTACAGAAACTTTATTGATAGAAAAACATCCATGGATTTTTTTCAAATTTGGTAAACTTATATATAATATTTACAACCTACAGCTAGGTGTCAAATTTGGTCTAATTATAAGCCACTTGTGCAAAGTTATTCAACAAAAACTGCTCAATTTTGACTCAAATTTTTGCGCACATCTACGCAAAAAAGGCACGTGAGCTATTGATCTGAAATTTTACAACGGCTTCGCCTAAAAGTAAAGGTGGATCGTTTTCAGTGTTTTGTCTTTCGGATTAAAAACGGTTGATTTATAGCAGCAAAACTATTGGGTAAAAGCACGTGCAGATATATAAGTATTGATTAGGCCAAGAAAACTAGAACAGCAGATTCTAACTCAAGTTTTCAAAAGAATCATACGGGTGGACGGTGATTATTACTATCGAGTGACACTTTCTTACTTGCTGTGGTTGTTGGTGACTATTGCTAAAAAATCATGATATTTAATCAAAAACACCTTATGTGTGAAACAAAATACGGCCAAAAAAAAAAAGGATTTAACGTGCGACGTAAAGGAATGAAATCAAAATTGGCGGCCAAACTGTTATCTACATTTATAGCATTGATAAGAACTTTACAGTAAATATTCATTCATTAGTTAACTATGCTGCGTATTTTGTTCTACTCTAGATCATGGCCCTAGTTGAACAAAAACACAGCTTAGCTATCTAATGAATGAATATTTGCTGTAAAAAACCTTTTTTTTCGAACTTCATCAATACCTAATATTCCTTCTTCAAAGTCACTTGGTAGTCCTTATAAATGAAATACCTAATACCACTCATGTTTACGAATGTAAATAAAATTCTAAATTCAGCATGTTTTATTAGAAAGTTAATGTGAGGCTTAACACTGCACAATTCATAATGTCAAATATTAAATATATTTGGAATGGCAATAACCTCATGGGATTTTTTCAGTAATCTGAAGTTATAGAGCGTTAGTCTGTGAAGCCCGTTAATGTCAAGTTTTCCTATGAATGCAGTAGGTCTTTGTACTGTCTGGTATTCATAAACATCTTAATTTATTAAATGACATAATGTAGACTGCAGATTAAGTATGCAAGGAATGTTGTTTGCCGCCATAAGCAGAATAAGCAAAAATACTAAATAATACCTATAAATACTTTAGTTACTAGAAAACACAAAAAGGTAAACTTCTTAACACCCTCAGCAGATTTCCTACAATTAATCTTACGTCATGTAACTTAGGAATTTTCCACGTTGGTACGTATATATAGCTTTATATATATATATATATGTGTGTGTATATACACACACACACACAAGAAATCAAATATATTTTGCTCAGGGAAGTGATTACTTAAAATGAAACAACAATAAAAATATCTTTCAAAACTCTTTATTATTGTTAATTTACAACAAGTAAATAGAAAGACACATACATAAAAGCATAAATACCGGTTTCATATCTTCCAGGATACTCTTCAGTTTTTAAAATAAGACTCTAACAAGACCTACTTAACAATGTAAAACTACCCGTATTGTTTGACCTTAAAGTTTTATATATGTTTAAACTCCCTTTGTATGTTAAACTATGTAACACTAAATTTATTAATAAAATAATTTTCATTAAATAATCTCCTATACTTTTCACAGGAATACCAAAATGGAAATATTTGGAAAAAAAAAGGTTCTTGTAAATTATGATATTTCTATAATACACTTATTAATGTGTTTGTTAGCTGGTAATGGACTATTATTTGCATTTTTGTTATGATATTTATGTAAATTTATTCTTAAACGTAAGTTTTCGGTTTGTCCAACAAAAAGATGATTAGAACAAATACAAGATAATACATAAATAACATTATGTGAATTACAACTAAATGCAGAGTTTATAAAAAAACGTTTTCCCTCCAGTAAGGCCTGTAATATATTTAGTGCATGTAACCTTTCCCACAAATAGAACAGTTTGGTTAATTTGAGGGGAAAATATCTTTATCAGATTCCTTTACTTTATTTCCCTGATTTAAGATAGCACATAAACTTTTGGGTTATCTTCGTGATAATACAATTTATTTATTTTCAAACTTAGCTTTTAAAGTTTTATCTGAAATTATTTCCTATTCTTTTTGGATATAATTAATATTAATTTTAACTCCAGAGTAATGGTGGATATAATTAATATTAATTTTAACTCCAGAGTAATGGTGGATATAATTAATATTAATTTTAACTCCAGAGTAATGGTGGATATAATTAATATTAATTTTAACTCCAGAGTAATAGTGGATATAATTAATATTAATTTTAACTCCAGAGTAATGGGTTATTATGAATGAAATAATTTGTTCTTCTTGTATATATTATCTTTATGATTATTGTTAGTTTCCTTTTTAATCTTAGCTAACTTGAAACTTCTCTCTATTACGCCCCCCAGTGGCACAGCGGTACGTCTGCGGACTTACAATGCTAGAAACCGGGTTTCGATACCCGTGGCAGGCAGAGCACAAATAGCCTATTGTTTAGCTTTGTGCATAATTACAAACAAACAAAATCTCTCTATTACATTTTAATTCTACCAATTTTTATTGTTGAACTTCCGGGTTAGAAACAATAAAATAAATTCTGTGAGCTACGCAAAGTGGAATATGTAATTTAGTATGTATAAGATGGTTACTATTAAAATATAAATATTGATGTGAATTGGTAGGTTAGTAATATAAACTCGTTTCAATCTTACCGTCTTCCTTTTTTACAATCCATGTATCTAAAAAAAGATAAACCTAAATTACTCATTTCAAAAGTAAACTTTATGTTAGGATTAATTTGATTTAAATTTTCAAAAAATATTCCAAAATCAAAGGATCTGTTCCATAATAGAAAAGGATAATCTAGAAAACTTTTCCAATTTTGCTTCAAGTAATATAACTATTGAACATTTGAATTTCAAAATATCCTATCATTAAAGTGGCATAAGTTGGAGCCACTTTTGTCCCCATTTACGTTCCAGAGATTTGTTGATATACATTGCCTTTATAAACAAACTAACAATTACCTCAAATACGGTTTATACCTTTAATCGTCACTTCTTTATTGAAACGTGGATGTAATAAATCTGGATATCTATCTATGTAATCCTCAATATCTTTTATAACATATTCATATTTGATAGGTGGATAGAGAGAAACAACAACTAATGATATTAGAATAATATTTTTTAAATTCTTTCTGGTAAATGGTTAATAAAATAAGTATCATATTTTATATAACTTTGTACTCCAGTTATAATTGGTTTTAGAATTATTTCCATAATAGAGCTCAATAGTCCAATCACCTTGTTTTTCCCACTTATATTGGTCTTCAATAGATTTTGGGATGTCTCTTTAGAAACTGAAGAGTATCCTGGAAGATAATACGTGCTTTAGAGCTATTTGTTTTTTGTTGTTTTTTTGTTTGTCAATATTCCACTTATATGAAGCTAGTACTTTTTGTAGAAGCTGCACTCTTCAAATGATGTAATATGATTGTAATATCACTCTTCAAATGATGTAATATGATTGATTGCTCTTCTTCTCTCGTTATACCAACACTGATGCTGAAAAGTTCTAGTTTTATTTGCGAGTGAGAGATTTTAATGTAGTATTAGAACACAAAAGTTGTACCTTTAATCTGCTATTGTGAAAATTCATGTTTGATTTTAGCTTTAATCATTCACAGTTGAATTATCAGCATTTATGGCTTTTATCTTTGATCAACAGTGTGACCTTAACTTCGATATGCCCTATACAATGTGAACATTATTTTAATTTTATACATGTTAACAGTGTATTTCAGATATTCTGTTGCCTTTTATGAAGCTTGAATAAAGAGTTACTTCTTTGTGATGCAGAATCAGTCTCATTATTTTGTTAGTTATATACTTTCTGACACTTAGCTTATAGCCTGCCTATCACAGTCCTCTGTGGCAAACAGAAATTTTGGTGCCATGACCAGGATTCCATGAAGTCAAGGCAAAGTCTGATGTGAAATGAAAGCATATCCTCTCGTTTGCTAACTAATTTTTAATTGTATTTATTT